CGTTTAATGAGATCAACGCTTTTCTATTTGCTCGTTCGATTATATTTGACAACAAATAATACTCACCGGATTCTCTCAACGAACTGATACAAGATTAGGCACTATCACATTATCACGATTTTTAATCCGTGTGCCGATCTCGAGAAGTGACTTCGAGGCGCGAGAAGCTTCTCGAACGACGAAGGTCCGTGGAAATCGTCGGAATCGATGAGAGCGTGTCGTGAACGTGTCGCGTTTGCTGGCCTCGCCGCGGACTGATTTAAATTTAGCGTGGACCGTGTCTAAATACACGCCGCTTCGGTCCACGCTGCCTCCTTCGGAGAACGCCGTGACATTCGTGAACGTTGTTCTCTCCTTGGTGAACGAGCGTATCGCATACGCGCGCGCGTTCCAATCTAGTTGAGGCATTGAATCGGGGCTGAATCGTGAAACTCGATTAAAAATTTCTCGACCCGTTGCGACCCAATTACGAAACTGTTACGCCGGTTTGAAGAGCTTTCGGTTGTTGAACGGGGAATTACCGAGTCATTGAATTATAAACTGTTCCGCGATTTTCTCGCTGGGAAATCGCGGGAACAGAAGAAGCCCGGACGGTACGGGAATTAATTGGACGGTGACCCGAGCGCCACGTGGGCGTCTTCTGCAACGGACCATGTTTATTCTACGACGAATTTACTTCACGGCTCAGAGTTGACCGTGCGACGCTCGAAATAGTATAGCTAGTAGGTGTCCAGGGGGACGTCTCGTACGACAGGAGTTTAATGAATGAATAAGAATAATAAGAGTTATACGACACCGTTGCGCGAATGAATCAGATTCAGTTTTAGCTACGTTCATTGAAACTATTAAAATATTTTACCAGAGATACCATTCAGGATTCAAATATTCAACTCCGTTATACAGGGTGTCTCAGAAAAAGTATCAGAGGCGATGAGAGGTGATTCTGTGGATGTTTCTGAACAACAATTTCATTTGGCAAAATGCAAAGTGAGTTATGGTTCTTAAAAACACTGACCAATAAGAGCGCGCGTAGGCCGCGCTTAGCCAATAGTGTCGGCTCGAGTCGTGGCGCTCGGTCGTTGGTCAGCGCTGACCTTACGCGCGCTCTCATTGGTCAGTGTTTTTCGTTCATAATTCAAAAACCATGCCTCACTCTGCATTTTGCCAAAGGAAATTGTTGTTCAAAAACATCTACAGAATCACCTCTCTTTGGTTTTAATACTTTTTCTGGGAGGCCCTGTACAAAACTGCCTCCAAATCCCCGTTGACGTGTAGAGTCCGCGCTCAGCCAGCTGGCAGTGGTGGCTCGGATCGTGGAGCTCGGCCATTGGTCAGCGCTAGCCTTACGCGCGCTCTCATTGGCCAGTGTTTTTCGTTAATAATTCAAAAACCATGGCTCACTTTGCATTTTGCCAAAGGAAATTGTTGTTCAGGAAGACCCTCCCTATCTGCCATTTTCGGCTCTTACACCCTTTACGGAACACCCTGTATATTTAGGGTATCCGAGAAAAAGTGTTAAAACCAAAGAGAGGTGATTCTATAGGTGTTTATGAACAACAATTTCCTTTGGCAAAATGCAAAGTGAGCCATGGTTTTTGAATTATTAACGAAAAACACTGGCCAATGAGAGCGCGCGTAAGGCTAGCGCTGACCAATGGCCGAGCTCCACGATCCGAGCCACCACTGCCAGCTGGCTGAGCGCGGACTCTACACGTCAACGGGGATTTGGAGGCAGTTTTGTACAGGGCCTCCCAGAAAAAGTATTAAAACCAAAGAGAGGTGATTCTGTAGATGTTTTTGAACAACAATTTCCTTTGGCAAAATGCAAAGTGAGCCATGGTTTTTGAATTATTAACGAAAAACACTGGCCAATGAGAGCGCGCGTAAGGCTAGCGCTGACCAATGGCCGAGCTCCACGATCCGAGCCACCACTGCCAGCTGGCTGAGCGCGGACTCTACACGTCAACGGGGATTTGGAGGCAGTTTTGTACAGGGCCTCCCAGAAAAAGTATTAAAACCAAAGAGAGGTGATTCTGTAGATGTTTTTGAACAACAATTTCCTTTGGCAAAATGCAGAGTGAGGCATGGTTTTTGAATTATGAACGAAAAACACTGACCAATGAGAGCGCGCGTAAGGTCAGCGCTGACCAACGACCGAGCGCCACGACTCGAGCCGACACTATTGGCTAAGCGCGGCCTACGCGCGCTCTTATTGGTCAGTGTTTTTAAGAACCATAACTCACTTTGCATTTTGCCAAATGAAATTGTTGTTCAGAAACATCCACAGAATCACCTCTCATCGCCTCTGATACTTTTTCTGAGACACCCTGTATAACGGAGTTGAATATTTGAATCCTGAATGGTATCTCTGGTAAAATATTTTAATAGTTTCAATGAACGTAGCTAAAACTGAATCTGATTCATTCGCGCAACGGTGTCGTATAACTCTTATTATTCTTATTCATTCATTAAACTCCTGTCGTACGAGACGTCCCCCTGGACACCTACTAGCTATACTATTTCGAGCGTCGCACGGTCAACTCTGAGCCGTGAAGTAAATTCGTCGTAGAATAAACATGGTCCGTTGCAGAAGACGCCCACGTGGCGCTCGGGTCACCGTCCAATTAATTCCCGTACCGTCCGGGCTTCTTCTGTTCCCGCGATTTCCCAGCGAGAAAATCGCGGAACAGTTTATAATTCAATGACTCGGTAATTCCCCGTTCAACAACCGAAAGCTCTTCAAACCGGCGTAACAGTTTCGTAATTGGGTCGCAACGGGTCGAGAAATTTTTAATCGAGTTTCACGATTCAGCCCCGATTCAATGCCTCAACTAGATTGGAACGCGCGCGCGTATGCGATACGCTCGTTCACCAAGGAGAGAACAACGTTCACGAATGTCACGGCGTTCTCCGAAGGAGGCAGCGTGGACCGAAGCGGCGTGTATTTAGACACGGTCCACGCTAAATTTAAATCAGTCCGCGGCGAGGCCAGCAAACGCGACACGTTCACGACACGCTCTCATCGATTCCGACGATTTCCACGGACCTTCGTCGTTCGAGAAGCTTCTCGCGCCTCGAAGTCACTTCTCGAGATCGGCACACGGATTAAAAATCGTGATAATGTGATAGTGCCTAATCTTGTATCAGTTCGTTGAGAGAATCCGGTGAGTATTATTTGTTGTCAAATATAATCGAACGAGCAAATAGAAAAGCGTTGATCTCATTAAACGTTTCACTGGCGGTGGCTTCGTTCCGACGCAGCCAACTGAAAATTGCGAAATATCGAGAGCCGCGCACGGCAGAGTTGCCGCCTTTTGATCTATCTCCACAGGAGTTTCCACCATGAGTTTCCACAATTTCCACGAATCCTCTCTTTTCTCTACATTTCTCGAGTGTACCCAAAAGTCGTGAATAGTTTCTTGTATCCACTATAAAAGAGACAAGACAAGAATCCTACAGAATGATAAAAATAATGATTCGGTGATTCCATCACATTTTCATATAACGATCGAAACCAAAGTAAAAAGACGTTTTAAGAAAATATTTACACCGGTCAACTTATACAGGGTGTTCCAGAACTAGTGTTAGGCCTTCAAATAGGGAGGAGCTTAGGTGATTTTAAACAACATTTTCCTTTGCAAAAAAGTTGTCCGAGGGGTGGTTGAGGAGTTATTAATAAAAAACCCCGGCCAATCAGAGCGCTCGGTTAACGCGATCTACGAATCGGCGTTGAAACACATATATTTGTGATGTTCTATTGAATACTCATGCAAAATTTCAAAACATTCTATAGAAAATGGATTTTGGGACTAACGTCCTTAAGAGAAGTTCTCCCAACTTGTACCCCGTTTGCTACAAAGATACAATTGTACCTTTTCTATCCATCGAGACTCACTGTGTAAATAAAATATGGCATCGGTTAATTTCCTCTTCCCTTGGCCCTCCCTTTCCTTCTTCCGCTCGGCAATTTACAACAGCAGAGAGCAGAATTACTTTCCCCGGGCAATTTGACGTCGTTTACACGTCACGACGAGCCCGTACGTGACGCGATGTTAAGAAAGAAAATGAAGAAAAAAAAAATAAAATAATAATTCGCATTGTCGCGGCACGGTAAGCACCTTTGAGTATGCGCCCTCTCCTTTCCGGTCGTTATAAAAGTTTCTACTTACCTCATAGTCAGCGGACCTTTGTAGCGAACCGCGCGGCTCCTTTCTACAGTACTGGAACGACTTGAATTTCCGCGCCGCAGTCGGTGCGATGCTTTTTTGAAAAGCGTAATCCTCATTAAATTACATCCTGCATAACTTCGCGCGGTCCTATTAAAGGGTCAAAGTTGCTTTAACTGGAACACAGGACTGAGCTTCCGACTGCCGCGGCGGCGGCTACGGAGCAATTATAGAATGAATAGTCAACGTCTACAATTAACTTGAGACTGCGTCGGTACAAGCGGCCGTCCCGACGCCCCGTATAAATACGTTTGTTTTTGCAATTAGCCAATTAGCGCGTGTCAAGCATCCAGCACCGTGGAAACAATGAAGTCGTAATTAAAACTACCAGCAAGTATTTAATTCCTGGGTATTTCGTCCAGGTCGAAAATTCGTACGAAATCCAGATCATAAATCATTTATTATCGACCTGGAAATACGAGATTTCTTTCCGTTGATTTATTGTTCTGAATTTAGTCGATTTCTATTCCATTAAAATTGAGTATTTTCCTTAATTCATCTTAATATTTATTAGTAAATATAATAAATTATTGAGAGGAAGGGGNGTCATTTTCTTAAAACGCTTCGTATTGAGTGGAGCGGTTCACGCGTTAAAAGCCGGGCGTCCGGATTGGAAGCTCGCGCCAACCGAGCACTCTGATTGGTCGGGATTTTTTTGTTAATAACTCCTCAGCCATGCCTCGGATAACTTTTTCGCTAAGGGAAATGTTGTTTAAAATCACGTCAGGAACCTCCTATTTCAATATCTTACACTAGTTTTGGGACACCCTGTATAGAATTCTTAAGAGAATTTATTTCACTTTCCGAATTCCGGGAGCCGCGTGTGGCAGCAGCCGCGTTCCAATTATTTTCAATTCCGTCGCCGTTAAAAACTAATTCTCGTGCATTGCACCGGTTAATTGGAACATTCTAATTTCCAGCCGCGCCATTGTTTTCATTTCTCGCTGACATCGCTAATACCAATTCCCGGTGTTGCAACAGTTTATGCCACTGCGATAACCGTAAGGAACGGGAGGTCTCTCGTAGAAATTCGCCGTGGACCTCCTCGAACCGATGCCCACTATCGTAACCAGGCGCGTGGCTGTACGTTCCCCTATCGTACGACCGATGTTTTTTCGCCGACTTTGCGGCCAGCCGAGAAATCGCGCTATTCAGAGTCGAAATCCCATGGAGTCGATATTCAATTTCTCCTAGAGGTGGTCAAAATGATTCGGAACGGAGATCAATGGTCGACGGTAGGTCGTTTCTTCTCGGATCCGACTGGACCCTGCGCGAGTATCTCACCGGTGGAAGTAGAATAGGTGAATTCGGTGTCAGACAGCGCAGAAAGCATCGGCCACCTGTTTCCCACCGTCAATTCCCATGGATCGAATATCTTTCTCTTGTTTAGATTTTCCTTTGACTGTAGAATTTGATATCAAATATTGTAATACACAAATTTTGTAATAAAAAATGTAATTAATAATAATGTTTTATTATAGTTTTGGGGGTCCATGAATAGGTCTTAATTTACACTTTGACATAATTATTTTCTACTCTATTTTACGTGACTAAGTAATTATAATAGAATTTGTTTGTCAGTTGCAAGGGACTGAGCATCTCTGACACAAAAAATTTAATTATGGCAATGCAACGAGATTAAACCGAAACGATCCTGCTCTCCAGTCGAAGTAAACAAGCAAATATACAACAGGAATATTTCGTTCTACTTAATAATAAAAGAAGATGAAATACACAGTACGGTTTACTCGAAATGAATTAGACTTCTTCTCATTGCAGTGACATTATACAGGGTGCTCCTTTTAAATAAGGTCTTTCTAAATATTCTCTTCAGCTTATTGTGATGCAAAATATATTTTTCACGTAATGGTGTCAAGGGACCAATATCTGGCAAGAATATAATTTCCTCAAGGTCATTATTTTCAGAGTTATCAAGGTCATCGGTGTTTCCTCACACATAACTACATTTTCTATTACAGATTATTAAAAATTTATTAACATAACTACATTTTCTATTACAGATTATTAAAAATTTATTAACATAACTACATTTTCTATTACAGATTATTAAAAATTTATTAACATAACTACATTTTCTATTACAGATTATTAAAAATTTATTAACATAACTACATTTTCTATTACAGATTATTAAAAATTTATTAACATAACTACATTTTCTATTACAGATTATTAAAAATTTATTAACATAACTACATTTTCTATTACAGATTATTAAAAATTTATTAACATAACTACATTTTCTATTACAGATTATTAAAAATTTATTAACATAACTACATTTTCTATTACAGATTATTAAAAATTTATTAACATAACTACATTTTCTATTACAGATTATTAAAAATTTATTAACATAACTACATTTTCTATTACAGATTATTAAAAATTTATTAACATAACTACATTTTCTATTACAGATTATTAAAAATTTATTAACATAACTACATTTTCTATTACAGATTATTAAAAATTTATTAACATAACTACATTTTCTATTACAGATTATTAAAAATTTATTAACATAACTACATTTTCTATTACAGATTATTAAAAATTTATTAACATAACTACATTTTCTATTACAGATTATTAAAAATTTATTAACATAACTACATTTTCTATTACAGATTATTAAAAATTTATTAACATAACTACATTTTCTATTACAGATTATTAAAAATTTATTAACATAACTACATTTTCTATTACAGATTATTAAAAATTTATTAACATAACTACATTTTCTATTACAGATTATTAAAAATTTATTAACATAACTACATTTTCTATTACAGATTATTAAAAATTTATTAACATAACTACATTTTCTATTACAGATTATTAAAAATTTATTAACATAACTACATTTTCTATTACAGATTATTAAAAATTTATTAACATAACTACATTTTCTATTACAGATTATTAAAAATTTATTAACATAACTACATTTTCTATTACAGATTATTAAAAATTTATTAACATAACTACATTTTCTATTACAGATTATTAAAAATTTATTAACATAACTACATTTTCTATTACAGATTATTAAAAATTTATTAACATAACTACATTTTCTATTACAGATTATTAAAAATTTATTAACATAACTACATTTTCTATTACAGATTATTAAAAATTTATTAACATAACTACATTTTCTATTACAGATTATTAAAAATTTATTAACATAACTACATTTTCTATTACAGATTATTAAAAATTTATTAACATAACTACATTTTCTATTACAGATTATTAAAAATTTATTAACATAACTACATTTTCTATTACAGATTATTAAAAATTTATTAACATAACTACATTTTCTATTACAGATTATTAAAAATTTATTAACATAACTACATTTTCTATTACAGATTATTAAAAATTTATTAACATAACTACATTTTCTATTACAGATTATTAAAAATTTATTAACATAACTACATTTTCTATTACAGATTATTAAAAATTTATTAACATAACTACATTTTCTATTACAGATTATTAAAAATTTATTAACATAACTACATTTTGACCCGGGTTCATAAATTCATACGTCTCTCCATTGATTTCAACCGGAATCATCTTCGATTGGCTTTCGATTAAATCATAATTAATCGAAATGTTCGTCACGCAACGTGAATGTTCACTCACAGTTTCAATTCCTGTCGGCTAACGAGATTCGATAAAAAGCAGCCAATTCCGTCCCGGAAAAAAGCACACAAATGGCCAAAAAAAACGTCAATTTGAAAACGCAATTTTCAAAAATATTGCACAATTTTTAATTTAGGTTTGTTTTACGTTAAACAAAGGTCATGTGATTGACTGGTCCAATGATGTATTTCTACCATGACTATAAATTCCAGTCTTACAATTAGTATCGTCGATATAAGAAAAGATGGCAT